AATAATGTTGCAATTCGTTGCAACATTGTGATGCTTATTTGTCACCTGTTGCAACTAATTGAGGCGCCATCTTTAATGTATACATAAAAGCTTTTTCTCTTACTGAATTAATATATATAATTTTTATTTAGAGACTTTAGAATTTTAATAAAAAAATTTTTTCTCTCAGATTTTTTTTTAAATATTTACTAGTTACTATTTATATAATTTATATTTTATGCTATCTATGTTATATTTTTAAAACTTTTAACTTTGCTATAAAAAATAATTATCTAATTTAATCAGATGTTTTTAATTATATTCTAGCATAATTGAATTTATGAAAGTCCATTAATATATAAAGTATATATTATAATATAAACTGTATATTTATAAGCCTAATTTTTTACACTCTATTAAAAAGTTAATTCAGCCTACTGATCATACTATATTTAGATTATAATTTAATATTTTGAGTAAGTAATTAATATAATATTTTATCATTTTTATAATGCCTAAAATATCAACTGAGATAGTATTAGTTCAATAGCCAAAAATAACTAATATTAAAATTTTGTATATAAATATGGTATATTTTGCAAAAATAATATATTAATAAACTAGTTTAAAATTAAGAATATCTAAAAAATAATATTTTCAAAATGATGTTTCAATGTCTATTTTGTCTAAAAACCTTTTTTATTAGATCTGCTTATAGTCAACATGTTAGTTTTTTCATATCTGTTACTAAAAATAGTGAAGAATCTGATATAAATAAAAATAGCAACATATCATTAAATGATCAAAGCATTAAAATTAATAAAAATGATCAAAGTTTTTTGAATTATAATGATCAAAACACATCAATTCCAGAAGGTAGTGAATAAAGTATATTAATTTTAGAAAGTAGTAACCAAAATACATCAATTATAGAAGGTGGTAATCAAAGTATATCAATTTTAAAAGGTGATATTCAAAGTATATCATTTTCAATAGATAATGATGAGTTTATCTTTGATGATATCTTAAAAAATACTTTGGAAGAATCTGAATCAGAATCTAAAGTAAATACAGATTATCCAAATAAAGTATATGGTGATTTAATGGCATTAGTTATAAACTATAAACTTAGTAATAAGACAGATAATGTAATAATAAAATTTTTTAATAAATATGCAAGTCTTGATATATATTTACTTCTAAAATCTATTAAACAAGGATGCATATATATATAGATAATATGAATCTATCATGTTTGATATATCAAAAAACTTGTGTAATAGTTTATAATAATAAGAAATATTATTTTTATCATCAATCTTTATTAAATAGTATAAAAAATATTTTATTTATTCTTAATATATTATGAAACTTTATGCTAACCTTCAAAAAGCTTGAGATAATTATTTTATTTTATTTAGCTTTAATATTTATATTAACAATATAATATATATTATTAATATATATGTAGTATGATAGAGAAAGGATATATAGTAAATAAAATACTAGAATATGTGAAAAATACAGAAAAAACCATTCTATATTATTCTAAAATTTTATCAATAATATTAATTCAAATATTACTAATGTTACATATATTGGAAAAATGTAATTTTCATCTCATTTATATGTTAATTAGCAATATTAAAAATTGGAAACATAATAAATCAGATGCTAAATAGCTATTAGGTTACTTACCAATCTTAAAAACTAGTAATAATACTAAAAAACAATCTGAAAACTTTAAGAATATTACTAGTGAAACCTTTTACAAATCTTTAGAAGTTTTGCTAAATTCTCTTCTAAATGATAATGATATAAATTTAACTTTAAATAGCAAAATAATTTGGTTTAGTCTTCAAGTTTTTATCGTAATTGCAGATTGATTAGAAACTGTAATATATTGTCTTATTTTCAAATTATCTATGTCAAATTTTCCCTATTATTTTTGTTTAATTAAAAAAAGAATGATCTTGTAAATATTAATTTAACTACAAGTAATATGAAACTATGAACACATAATAATATAAGCCAATTTTTTAATTAAAATTTAACAAGATCTATTTATATCAAAAAAATGCGTAATTTTTTTTGAAAATTACCATAAGTTTACTTAATATTTATATTGCAAAGATTTATTGTATTTATTTTAATATTTTATTTATTTATTTAAGTAATATAAATATTTATAAAGTTAACAGTATCAGATAAAATACATTATTTCGATTTAGATTTATTTCATTATCAAATTAAATACACAAGAGAAATTTTAAAAATCAGTTTAACAATTCTTTAATAAATAAAATAGATTGTAAGTTAGCTGCAATACCAAGATTCTCCGAATTAAAGATCTTTACAAATGATCTATAATCAATTGCTAGATTAACTGCTGATAAATATCGTAGCTTAATGAAAGTAATAGTTTTTGTAATAGATAATCTATATAAAGAAAATACAAAAAAAATTAAAAATTTTATTAAAAATAAAGATTTGATACAGATTTATGAAGCATAAAATAATATGTATATAATTAGTAGATTTGAATGTTTAAAGAAAGTGATCTGAACAAATTTAAGATATGTATAGTAATACTAAACTTAAAAAAGCTTCTGTATACTAATACTTAAAAACTTTTAGAATTTAATAGATAATTAGTCTTAGAGATTTATAAAAATTTTTCAAAATATCTCTTCATCAGGGTTAAAATTACCGAAACTATATTCATAGGTATATCATATAATTAATTTAATTTGATTATTTAGTGTAATTAATAGATATATTACAGAGACTTATGAAAGTCTTTACAAAAAATATGTCAAAAATTTATATTGATTAAATAATAAAAGGAATATTAAAACTCAAATAATAAAAATAATAATTGACATAAAAATTTACAATTTACATGATATTGTATTAAAATTATTTATATAATACAGATTTGATGATGGTTAATTATAAACTTAACCTATTCATCAACAAAATTGTCAAATATTTCTCAATTTAAATTCTCTGTAAAACATTTTGAGTTTAAATTAAATAATGCAAACACATTTTTTGAGAAAAAGAATTTAGATCTTGAAATAAAAAATAAAATAAAAACTGGATTTACTAAGTTTATGAAAAGTTTAAATTTATATTTTGATCAAGTATTTGATATAACTTCTATAAATAAATGCAAAGTAAAGATATATAAATCTGTTATATTAGAAAATCTTTCTATTTTATACAATGATAACAAATATCATGACCAATCTTGATTTAGTGATATGTTTATTCTCATAAATTCTAATAAATTATTTGAATATACTTCAGATCAAAGCATTTGTTATGAACAGGTAAATAGTTTAATTTTATTTAATATTAAATATATTATATTTAAACTTTATTAAAGTTTTATTAATAGCAAAAATAAATATTGCAAAACAAAATATTTTGTTAAATCTCATATTAATTCAGTAGTATAACTTCAAATCTCAAAATAATTTATATCTTTATAAATGTTTTCGGTTAAAATTTACAGAAATTTATAACTTTATTGACATAGAAGCTATACTAGATATAGTACATATTATACTACACTTTAATTCAAATAACGAATATTTTGTTAATAGATTTATATTTTAGTTTCAATAAATTTAAATAATTATATTTAATTACTTAAATATAAAAGATGAATGTCATATATACAGTAACATAAATTTTATGACACTTTTTTGTATGTAATTGCATCATATACATGATGCTCATAATTAAAAATATTTGTAATACTTTATAAATTTTATATGTAATACATTTTTTTATAAAATCTTAATATACTGCAATATACTACTAAAAGGCTATATTATATTTATTATAATAATAGAATATATATATTAGAATAATAATAAGATCTTTTATGATAATTTTTTTAATATATAATAATAATTTTTATTTTATAATATTATTTTATTAATTTTAAACTTATCAATTTATAGTATGTAACATAATAATTAAAGTAAAAATTTTTATTGTATATAATTAATCATGTATAAACAAATATATTTTTAATTATAATTATTTTATTTATATAAAATTTTGCAAAATTGATATTATTTTAATAAAAAATATATAATATTTCAATTTTTATAACTAATTATATCTATAATATAATAATTAAAGTCTTATTAATATAAATAATTTATTTGCTATTAACAATATAAGATTTTTAATTAACTTTTCACTAATGTAATTTTTGAGCCCTATTAATATAAATAATTTATTTACTATTAACAAATATAAGATCTTCAATTAACTTCTCATTAATGTAATTTTTGTAACCTATAGGGGTGTAGATTAAAAGGATAAATATCTTATAGTTTATAAATTATTTTTTACAATATTATTGGCTTTTCAGATTAAACTTTCTTTTAGTTAGTAATACTTATAATACTTAATGAACTGAATCAAGAGACGAATTTTTTACAAATATCCTGTGAATTTTTAATACAAATATAGCATGATCTACTAATACATGATTTATATGACTTATACATTTATTTGTTCATTTATTGTATTATATATATTATTTACGATTTTTCAGATTTTATGATTTTGACAGCTAACTCAAAGAGTAATAGTAACTACCTCATTATTTTATAAATTTTTTATAAAAACAATTTTTCACAGCATAATACTTTTGTATTTTTACAAAATTAGTAATTTACTTAATTGTATTAGTTTTGCTAGTGTTTTGTAAAATCAGATCAGATCAGATTTGGATAAAATCTATTCTAATCTAATTTTATTTTTCGGGATCTAAATCTGATCTGAATCTGACAGATCTGTTAAAAATCAGATCTGATTTGAATCTAACAAATTAGATTTGATAATCAATTTAAATATTTAAATCCAAATTTAATCTGATTCAAATCTAAAATTTTTATTGAAAAAATGATTTTTCAGTTCTAAAAGAGATCCAAAATATTTCTTTTCAATGAAAGAAACCTTTTCAGCTTCAAAAGAGATCTGAAAAATCATTCTTTTTTAATAAAAGAAAATAAATTTTTGTTATAAAAGGGATTTGAAAATATTTCTTTTCAATGAAAGGAACTTTTTCAGCTTTAAAAGAATTCTGAAAAGTCATTTTTTTTCAATGAAAAGAATCTTTTCAGCTCTAAAAAGATTCTAAAAAGTTATTTCTTTTCAATGAAAGAAACCTTTTCAATTCTAAAAGAGTTCTAAAAAGTTATTTCTTTACAATAAAAGGAATCTTTTCAACTCTAAAAGAGTTCTGAAAAGTCATTCCTTTACAATGAAAGAAACCTTTTCAGTTCTAAAAAAATTCCAAATTCTTATTTTTTAGATCTAAGAAGGTTTAATCTAATTTAATAAAATTTTATGTAATATATAATAATTAAATTTTATTTCATAAATTTTATTATTATAAATATAAAAATAAATAAATAAATATATAAATAAATAAAATAATATATATATAAAAAATATAAAA